ATCTCCAGAAGTGATCCAGTCTTCTCTTGAGCGTTGGAACCAGATTAGTTCTTCTTGATATAGAGTGTCATCTAGTTCCATTCTCAATTTCCTATCCAGCCTTATCAAATCTGAACGGGTATTAAGGCAAAGCTTGCGCTGAACTCCTCCTAGTCTGGCAAGTAGATGCTTTTTCCTCTGGAAAATGTTGCCAAATGTTCTCTTATTCCATTCTGTGAGAGCTGCGGCCACCGCTTGATTGTTGGAAACAATGTCTAGATCCTCCTTCCAGAATGAGTTTATAAAAGACAAGAAAGTGGGGTGAGTAGACCATGCTAGATTAAATCTAAAATAATTGGACTTAGCTTCTTGGGTCCGGGTGTGCAGGCTAATCAGTAACGGAGAGTGGTCCGAATTTACCATTGGTAAGTGCTCGACGGAGGTGTTGGGGTAGCTGAGTTTCCAGTTCATGTTACCTAAAGCCCGATCCAAGCGTGCGCCTTTAAACGTTGGCAAGTTTAGGCCTCTTGCCCATGTGAACATACTGCCATTGTATCCTAAATCGACAAGCCCCTCTCTAAAAATCCAGTTGTTGAAATCTGCACACCTAGATTGGGCGAAGTGATCTGCATTGCTAACCTCTTGTTGGCAGGTAACCGAATTGAAGTCACCTGCAATTAGCCAGGGGCTTTGGATATTATATGAGCTGTATGTTAGTTCAGCGAACAACTGTCTACGCAAATAGTGGTCGGGGCTGCCATAGACAATCGTTAGAAGCCACGGTTCGAATTGCTTGTCATTTACCTGCAAATCCACCTGACTATGTAGAAAGCTTATTATTAGATGACTTAAATCAAGTCCCAATGTGGCGCTCAAATGTAAACTGTTAGCTCTATGTCTTTGGGGTCTCCTCCCTCCAAATAGAAATTAAAAAAAAAAAAAAAAAAAAAAAAAAAAAAACATGGTGCTAATACACAAATATAAAAAATAAATAAATAAATAAAGTTTTACTTTGACGTAGTTATCGGCGCTACTTATTGTGACACCAAATTTGTTTGATATTTTTGGGATATCAATTTTGAAAAATATAAATTCATGCATGTCAAACTCATTTGACGTATTATTTTCATTTATTTTTGTTGAAAATAAAAATACTTCAGATGCATATGGAAAATGCAGTATTATTCTATACGACAAAAGCATTTCCCATATGCATTTTGTTATCGATAAATGTATAATTGTGTATATAAAATACGTTTGAAGTGTTTTTTTTTAAACAAAAATACATAAAAATTAAAATCTCGTCAAACGTATTTACAATATGTGATTGTAAAATAAAAATCATGTCAAACATATATGAAGTATCTTAATTGACCTCCTCAAAGCAAAAGAAGTAAAAAAATAATAAAACCCGCATGGGCTTAGCTCAATGGTTTAGTGGGCAGTATTTGGGGTAAGATATTAAGGTTCGAACCTTGGCGGCGGCAGTATGAGAATTATGTCCAAAGTGGGCAGATTGCTTGTCCGCACTGGCATTTGGCCCTGGCCTGCCTACTAATTTACATCCTCCCGCACGCTCTGTCGTGTCGGGCCCTGCCTACTAATCTATTGAGTCACCGTGATTTACATCCTCCCGCATGCTCTGTCTTTGGGGGGATTTAGCCTTTTGGGGTAAGTAAAAAAAAAAAGAATAAAATAAAAAATTATAATCGTGCGCCTAGGTAAAGGCATGGTAGGGTTAACGTACTCAAATAAAAGTGGGTAACGTTGTTTTGCATTATAGGAAAAGACTTTAATGGTCTTCTTTTCCTGTGGGCATTCATAATATTGATATGTTGAGAAATATTTGTTACAATTAACTATTAGTTGCAAGCTAATACTAATATTTAAAATGTCTTTAACGATATAATAATAATAATAATAATAATAATAATAATAATAATAATAATAATAATAATAATACTAACAATAATAATAATTACATTTAATAAATAAAATATGTTTGTAATAAAAGAACTTATTTTCTCATTATTTTTATTTAATAATTAAATTATCAAAATGTTATTACTTTTTTCTCTCATCGCTTCAAATCAGTTAACATTTACTTCAAAGGAATGAATGAGATTATGTGTTAACTTTTCTTAATATAAAAACGTGTTAACTCGCGTTCTCGTTTGAGTATGACGTATGCCGTGTGTGTATAGAATTGAACTTACCAAACTTGTTTTTAGTTTCAATTCATTGCTGTCCAAGGAAGTATTAATGACACATATATATTGTATGTATGTATTCTATCTGAAAAATTAATGACACATATATATTGTATGTATGTATTCTATCTGAAAAATATATTCTAAATTGTTTGATTGTATTTAATTAGTACTATCCCGTAATTTACATACAATTGTACAAAGAATATGTAGATGACAGCAAGGGGGCAGGGTCACACTTTTATGGCCCATATATGCATGATGCATTATTTCCTAGAAATTATTGCCCGGCTGACATGCCAAAGTTGGAGTTGTTAACTTGTTATATCATGGATCAGTGTCCATCTTGCAATGTGAATCGTGGTTTTAAACGACGTATAAATTGTGTATTTTTAGTATTAGAATTGTAAATTTCTAGAATATAATTATATAAATTATGTTTTCAAGTCAAAACACATAACAACTGTAGAAAATAATTTGTGAATACAATACAGAGTCATCAAATCCTAATATGTTAATATTCTGTGACTGCAGTATTTGAAAAGAACTTGTGAATACAAAACAAGGTAATCATCAATTACATATATGTTAACATTGTGTGTTCGTAGTATACAAATTATAAATTTTTAAAGATAAATTGTGAACATTTAGTATGTAAATTATGAACATATATATAGCAAAAGTCATGACCTATAAAGAAGTTCTTTCTTGGTTAAAAGACCGAGGCACAACCATAATAAAGCTTGAGTCAGATTGTGTGAATACGGTATTTGCTTTGAATAAAAAACAAGTGGACATCTCCCATATTGGATACATTATTAGTCACTATTTCAGTACTATGTCCTCTTTTCAATCTTTTGCTTGTCATTTTATTAAGAGATTAGTAAACTTGTTAGTTCATACGCTAACTAAAGCTGCAGGCTCTCAATCTAATTCTCGTTTCTGGGATACTCATTCCCTGATTTTATCCTTTCTTTATTATCAATCTAATATACACTACAAGAAAAATACACATAGACAACACTAGAAAGACAACAGTTTTTAACAAAAGTGTTGTCTTTTGTATAAAAGACAACAGTTTGGTCCAAAATCGTTGTCTTTGACGCAACACTTTTGTCAAAGACAACGATTTTTACTTAATCGTTGTTATAAGTGTGTTGTATTTGTGCAATTTGAGAAAAGACAACACTACAACGACAACGGTTTTTATAAACCGTTGTCTATGCGCGTTTTATTTTTTTAAGACAACGGTTTTATTTAACCATTGTCTTTAATATGTTGTCTTTAAGTGTACTTGAATAAACAACACTACAAAGACAACGGTTTTTTAAACCGTTGTCTTTGCGCATTATTATTTTTTAAAGACAACGGTTTTATTTAACCGTTGTCATTTGTGTGTTGTCTTTAATAGTATTTGAGTACACAACACTACAACAACAACGGTTGTCGTTGCACGTTCTTTATATTTTTAAAACAACGGTTTTATTTTACCGTTGTCTTTAAGCATACTTGAATACACAACACTACAAAGTCAACGGTTTAAAACCGTTGTCTTTGAGCATTATTATTTTTTAAAAGACAACAGTTTTATTTAACCGTTGTTATTTGTGTGTTGTCTTTAATAACACTTGAATACACAACGCTACAAAGACAATGATTTTATAAAACCGTTGTCGTTGCACGTTCTTTATTTTTTAAGACAACGGTTTTATTTAACCGTTGTCTTTGGTATGTTTGTCTTTAAGCGTACTTGAATACACAACACTACAAAGACAACGGTTATAAAAAAGCATTGTCTTTGTGCATTATTATTTTTATAAGACAACGGTTTTATTTAACTGTTGTCATTTTTGTGTTGTATTTAATAGCAGTTGAATACACAACACTACAAAGACAACCGTTTTAGAAAACCGTTGTTGTTGCACGTTCTTTTTTATTTAAGACAACGGTTAAATTTAACCGGTGTCTTTGGTATGTTGAAAACCGTTGTCTTAGTTTTATAAAATAGGTTAAAATACTACCAACAATGGTCAAACTTAAGACCACTAACATAACACATAAAACTCAACTCACCAAGCCACAACACGATACCTAATATTTATCCTACATTTTATATAACCGTTGTTGTTTGTGTGTTGTTTTTAAGAACACTACAAATACAACGGTTTTATAAAATAAATTAAGATGCTACCAACAAAGGTCAAACTTGAGACCTCTAAGATAATTAACATGCAAGGCTTAACCCACCAAACCACACCAACTCTTTTATATTAAAATACGACATCTAATATTTATCCTCCATTTTTGGGCCGGGCGGGGTGGTGCACCCCCGGGCACTTCGACGACGCCCCTATTATTGAGAGGGGTTGGTAATCGACCCTTCCGGCTAGCGCATGACTAGCAAGGTTAGTTATAGGTTGGTAATCGACCATTCCAGCATGCATGGGACACATGGAGGATGGATATGAGAGACTAGTTGATGTCGTACACTTATCAACCATCCGATATACCCTCTACACTAATTCAAGGTTCTAGATGAACCATCAATGTTAGTACATAAGTCTATTTCACCCTTCAATACAAATTAAGTTTTGACTTCCTTCTCATATACTTCACAAAAAATCTCTTCCCTTTCAACGTCACTTAATAGAATGCGATCTTTAAATAAGCGCCTTCTAATATATACTTACTTCACTTAATAGACGGCGATTGTTTAAACCACCACCGTATATACTTTAATTTAATTTAATAGGTGGCCAAAATTCTTAAATCCTAATCAACATCAGTATCCCTATTCCCTAACCCTAAGTCCCTAACTCCCTCTCCCAAACTTACTCGCCGCTGCGCACCTCGCTGAACCAGACTCACCCGAGATCGGCCGCCGGCTGCCTGCTCCGCCGCATCGAAGCCTCTGCGAACAGACGAAGGTACTCCTCCACCTTCTCCTTCGAATTTGTTTATAGTTTATATAATGTATTGTTGAATTTCTGAGTGTGTGTGGTGGGAGGGGGTGGGTATATCAGGTGTCTATATACGGAGTATTTATTTTCCAAACAAAAAGAGAATGCTTGGTTTCATTATTGCTTTTCATGAAATGGGTAGATTCGAATTATCCTAATTCTCAGTAAATAGGAAAATTGGTTTAGCTACTAGGTGTGCATTCAGTGATACTGCTTGGGTATAATACTGGTAAAGATTTTGACTTTTTATTTATGTATTATTATTGCTATTTTTAATTGTAGTGGCTATGGTGACTCTATCACCAGTAGTGTATTGATTGTATACCATTGTAGTTTGGATTATACTGAAAAGTGTTTAGTATGGTTCTTCATAGAGTAAGATTTGCCCTTTTATATGCATACTGAGGAATGAATTTATAACCTTGTTGTGTTTTGGTACAATTGGTGTTTAGAGTGCTAAATTGTTATAAATTAACTCCGAAAGAGCTCTAAATTTTAATTTTGAGATAGCAATATTGGTTTTATAGTATTTAGTTGCATATAATAGCTAATCAGCAATGATGAATCTATATTATTTTTTTAATTTCATAGTATTTAGTTGCATATCAAGTTTGTTTTAATTGTAAGTGCATCGATGAGAGAATCACTTTGTAAATTACTTTAATCCTTCTTCGTATTGTAATTTTCTTAATCAAGAAAATGGTCATGACACATTAATTCGAGTTGTTCTTTCCCTGATTTGACCATAGTTTTTCTTAGTTGACATAGTCAATGGTTATTTAGTCTGTCAAGCAGGATTTCTCCCATTTTCAAGTTAAATATAGCTACTCCTTTTTATGTTCACATAGAAACTATGAAGAATTATGCTTTCATCATTCTGTGCCTTTCACAATTGCTTCAAGTTGTAGACTAATGTTGGTTATACTTTTTTGTACTCTCGTCCCACTTGAGGTGAGGGATGGGATACCAATTGTTGTTTCCATTTCATTATGGAGTATATAATTGATTAAAATATTAAATAAAGTCTAGAATGTGATTTGGTTCTATTTTGAAAACTTTGAAGACATTGGAATCAAACTATCCTGGGAAATAGGAAAATTGTAAGATTAAAGCTCCAGACCTTCAAGAAATGGCTGAAAAATTGGCCCCTGAGAAGCACCATAGCTTCATCCACAATGGTACTCTCTCTATCATATATGCATTAACATTATTATGTCCATAATTTTGTAAAAGTTTGTTACAGTTTCATGATTGATTATCAGGTCAGAAGGTCTTTGAATGGGACCAAACGCTTGAAGAGTTGAATATTTATATCAATCTCCCGGAAAATGTTCCCAAAAAGCTATTCTATTGTAAAATCGAGTCCAAACATTTGGAAGTTGGGATTAAAGGCAACCCTCCTTACCTCAATGTTGGTTTTATGCTACTCTGCCTCTACTTCCTTTTTCAAGTGGATAGAGCTTTAATTTTCGTGAGCATTCATATCATCTGACTATATTTTATACGCCTTTTTATGGGGTTTACAGCATGACCTTACCAATCATGTGAAGACAGACTGCTCATTCTGGACTTTAGGTAATGATTCTATGATTTGAGAGCAAAAGAACATCATTTTTGTCCATATGCATCGTTGAAACTTGAAAAGCTGTTGCAAAAGGAATTATGTAGAATTTTGTGTAATCCATGGAAGATTTGACCTGTGTGATGTGTTTTCTTTGTGAAATTAATGATCCTGTTGATAAAAAGCAAAACTTTTTGTTTGGTAAATAAATGGGGCTTCTCTGGAGGTATCAAAAGTGTTAAAGAGAAGTTTGAAGTTTGTGTTTAAAGTAGCCCAAGTTGATATTGTTCCAACTGATTGAGGTGTACTCCTTTTACAAACAAGTCATATTGATGAAATGGTTATTATTTGTATAGAAGTGCAAATTTTGGGGCAATCATGGCTGAGAATGACAAACTAGGTTTAACCAACTTATGATTGAATGAGTACTTTTTATGTATGATAACCAAAAATTATATGCTGCAGAGGATGATATACTGCACGTAACCCTTCAGAAGAGGGATAAAGGTCAGACATGGTCTTCTCCTATCATGGGTCAAGGTCAGTTGGATCCATACACCACAGACCTTGAACAGAAGCGCCTCATGCTTCAAAGGTTCCAAGAAGAGGTACATGTTTGCTCTACTCCAGTTGCAAGTTGCTCTTCTTAGTGTTGCTTGTGTCTGTGATTGCATGTTTGATTATACGAGGTTTCCAGACTTTGTAAAGGATTATGCTGCCTCAGAGTCAATAGTAATATACCTTAAACAATAAATGAAACCAGCATAAACATGAAACACCTTAGAAATAGAATAGAATTATTTCTATGTTCCTTTTAAACAGATAAATATGGGATGGATTATTGATATATATATATATATATATATATATATATATATATATATATAGAATTAGGTTCTGGTGCGGTTAGAGTGCTCAGGTGCGGTTGTGCAGTTTAATCTGGGCCATTCATCTCGCTTAAATCAACGTCCAGGATTACCAAAATTTTAAACAAAAACGCGGTGGTAATTTTGTAATTTTTGAATCTACGGTCAAAATTAATGTGAGCGGTTCTGTAATTAATGTGCGTTAGTTTTGTATATAAGATGCGTGAGTCTTGTGCATAAGGTGCGTGAGTTTTGTGCTTAATGTGCGTGGGGTTGTGCTTAATGTGAGTAGTTGGTAAAACTTAAAGTGTGGGCTTTTGTGTTTAAGGTGCATGAGATTTGTTCTTAATGTGAGTGGAGTTTGTGCTTAATTTGCGTAGGGTTTGTGCTTAATGTGTGTGAGGTTAGGGATTAATGTCAGTAATTGTTGAAACTTAAAGTCTGTGAGTTAATACTTAAAGTGCGTGGGTTTTGTGCTTAATGTGCGTGAGATTGTGCTTAATGTGCGTGGGTTTTGTACTTAATGTGCGTGGGTTTGTGCTTAATGTGCGTGGGTTTGTGCTTAATGTGCGTGGTGCTTAAGATCTAACACTTAAAGGTGTGTGGCTTTCTTCCAGACACGCGTTTTTTTTTTTTTTTTTTAATTTTCATTGTTTTGAGCCGTTGATTTAGATTTGATCAACGACTCAAATTTAACCGCACGGGAAGCTATACCCTCACATGAACCCTTCCCTATATATATATATATATATATATATATATATATATATATATATATATATATATAGCACTCAGGTTCGAATGAAGTGCCCAGGAAGGAATATGCGAACCTATCAGCGCGCGACACGTGTCCAGATCTAATGGATTAAAAAAACGCGGTGACATTTTCGTAAATAATTGAATATCGAAGTGCAAGTAAAATGTGCAAGTAAAATTTACAATGAGCATCAATAAGAAGTGCACCTATAGTTATAAGTACTTGCATCAATAGTTATAAGTAGTTGCACCTATAGGTATAAGTAGTTGCACCTATAGTTATAAGTAGGTGCACCCAGGTGAATGAATGGTTGCGGGAAGTGAATGTTAACAAGACAAAATTACATGCACTTATAGGTGAAACTAGGTGCACCTATAGTTATAAGTAGTTGCACCTATAGTTATAAGTAGGTGCACGTATAGTTATAAGTAGGTGCACCCAGGTGAATGAATGAGTGCGGGAAGTGAATGTTAACAAGACAAAATTACATGCACTTATAGGTGAAAGTAGGTGCATCTATAGTTATAAGTAGGTGCAACTAGGTGAATGAGTGGTTGCGGGAAGGGAATTTTAACAAGGCAAAATTACATGCACTTATCGGTGAAAGTAGGTGCACTTGTAAGTGATTTTACTTGCACTTCGATGTTCAATTATTTACGAAAATGCCACCGCATTTTTTTTAATTTATTAGACCTGGACACGTGTCACGCCCTAATTCGTTCGCATATTCCCTCCTGGGCACTTATTCGCACCTGAGTGCGTCCCTATATATATTTGTATATATATATATATATATATATATATATATATATATATATATATATATATATATATATATATATATATATTACATGAGTATTTGATGAAAAATAGATTTTGTTCGCTAGCGCTCAATTGTTTTATGTAGTTTTAACCTTGTACTCTGAAGAGTTACTTAATGAACTACATAGAGATTAAATTTAGTAACTTGAAAGTAATGTATCTTCAATTGTGGTGCAATGAAGTCTATACTGAGTCCCTTGCAATTATACTTGGTGTCTCTTTGGTTCTGGTGATAAGATGCTCCCTTTTGCAGAATCCTGGCTTTGATTTTTCACAAGCACAGTTCAATGGCAATTGCCCTGATCCAAAGTCCTTCATGGGTGGGATCCGATCTACTTAACTTTGAAAGTAATGTATCTTCACTCTGATTCATCTCTGAGTCTCGGCTTACTGCAGTCTCTAGTGGATGTCATGTCAAAACTGGATTTGTGCAATTGTTAGGTAAACACGATGAAAAATAAGTTGTTGGAATTGAATGTGGTGTATGTATATAACAATTTAATGTGTGTGTGAAATAAAACTAAAACTATGTGCCATGAAATCAAGTCAATTTGGTGACCACCAAGGATAGTTTTGAAGTACATATTCCTGCATTGGTTAATCAACTGCACTTCATAGCCTGAATTGTTTGGATGGTTGAAATTGTTGTTAGTTTCTTTGTAATATGCTTAGGTGGGTGAACTCTTCAAGTTGAATGTGTTTATAATATTATTATTTAGTATTTACAATCTGTATTGGAGTTGCAGTTATATTGGTATAACTTTCAATTGCAGATTAGTCAGGAGAAAATTATTCAAAAACATTTATTGTGAGAGCTCATTTTAATATTAAATCTTTATATCATGTGATAATTATATTGATGAATAATATTTATTTTTAAAAGTAATTATTTTGATTTTACTATTAATTGGTGGGGGCGTTTGGCAATATAAGAAACCCAAAAGAAGCCCAAATCTTCTTCACTGGAACTTGCTTGACGGTGCATCACCAGTTAGAATCATTCCCTGGTCGAAGAGGAATTTTTTTTGGGATCCCAAATAGCGAGATTTTTGTGCTGGGATACAAAGAAAGGAATAACTTCTTTTGCTTTAGCGCTATTCCAATGACGCCATTCCTTTAGGCAATATTGGTTTATATAGAAAAAAATAATTAGAATACAACAAGCATTCGTGCATTTGCATCTTTCTGATCCGTAGAATTCGATTTATTTATGGACTGTTGGTCACTGGTTCTTCGGCGTCCGATTTTGAAGTAATCTCAATGCCAGTGTCTTCACCTTCAATTGCAGAGACCTAGATCACAATCAAAGAAATCTCTCTTCTTCGTCTCGTCTGTGTGGTGATTCAGGGAATTATGTTGTGCGCCGAGGAGGGAATTTTCGCAGATATTTTTCTTTGCTTGGTAGAGGGTGCAGTAAATGTTGGTAGATGGGAAGATGGAGTAAATACGGTAACCTAACGTATTTACTCCACTACTTCAACAAAATAAATGGAAAAGCTATAACGTCAAACCCTTAGGCGTTATTAAAAACAATAACGCCAAAAAGAAAGTAGATTTTCCCTTTTACGCGACCCAGATTTGAAATTCTTGATTCGGAATCTCATGCATAATTCCTTTTTCCTCAGCGAATGCATCCTAGTAGTTATATTATGAACTGGGTCCACTTTGCAGGGCGAACTTGACTTCAAAATACACAATTTATATATTGAATGTTCACAATTTGAATTATGAATATTTAGTATTTAAATTATGAACATTTAATACGTAAATTGTGTATTTTTAGATCTGATCTACGGAATAATTCATTCCCTTTCATTGATTTTCAACTTTGATATGCATTGCCAAGCATTCCTTAAATGTACCATCAAGCACTTACTAATGCCTCAATCTATTGACTTCTAAAACAATTATGGATGGAAATAGGTCGAGCCAACTCGAGTTTTAAGAAATTAGACTTGGGCTTGTTACGAAAATCTAGGGTATGAACCTGAGCCTTTATGTAGGCTTTTTGTTAGGCTTAAGTCTAAGTCTATAATTAGCCTGGCCTGTCATAAGTCTTTTTAAAAGCTTGTTTAATATGTATGCAATTAAAAAGGTTTCAAAGTGATTTTCAGGAAAAAAAAAAAAAAAAAGTTTCAAAGTAAGTCATATTTTGAGTTTATTTAAAACCTACTTGTTAAGTATTTTTTTAAACTTTAATAAGTATTTCTAAACAATTTAAGAAATATACCTAATACAAAAATTAATATATAATTGCATAAGTATATATCACTACAATACAAACACGACTGTATGCTCGTTAACTTGTTTAGGAATAATTCGATTGTATTATTCATTGTCATCCTATATAATCTCATAAATTGTTAAAAATCAACTCACACAATTAAGTCACGACACTTCATTAAATATTATAACAGTAAGAACAATTAAACAATAAGAATACTTATAGCAGGATTAGCAGTAATGTTTATAGTTGAATCATAATTTCGAACGAGATTTTAGAGGTGGAGAGTTAGGGTTTGATAATTATATATATTTGGGATTGTAAAGGCCCCTACAAAGGGCCTGACCTATTCCCATCCTTAAAAACAACTATGAGGCTTACTAACTCAAGCTAGTTTATCTTTTATTAATATGCATGTATATTATTTGTATGTGTGGATCAAATGATCGAGAACAAGTCTTTAAGAGAGAAATACAAAGCAATTGTAGCTTTACATATGGAAAAATTGGACGAATCAGATCAATTTTTTTTAAAAATACGGTGGTATATTTGTAATTATTACTAACTTTACTATAAAAACTTGAACACTAAAATATGCAATTCTTAAACTTTTCTAAGTTTGCACATTTAGTGTTAACATTTTGCATATTTAGTATTAAATGATTGCACTTGCAAAAATGCAAAAATTCATTGCACTTAGGGTTTCGATTTTAGAGCTTATGAATGAGTTTTTTATTTTATTGGGTTTAATGGTTCACTTTTTACTACTTAAGGTCTAACATTTACGGTTTGGATTTATAATTTAACTTGTTCGTTGATTTTATAAAACTTACTAGGCTTGCATTTTCGTTGTTAAAGGTTGCATATATAAGTGTTCACGTATGCATAGTGAAATTAATGATAATTACAAAAATGTCACCGCAATTTTTTTTTTTTTTAAATTTGATCAGATCCATTGAATTTTTATAGATGTAAGCTAAGGCTATATTGGTTCTTATTTCTTTCACATGGTACTATGCTCACAAGATCCTTATATATATATATATATATATATATATATATATATATATATATATTGGCTAGAGATCAAATGCGAATGAGCTCTCAAGTGAAATTATGGTGTAATCTCAGTCATTGATCTAGTTAAAATCTACAGTCCAGAATGATGAAAATTAAAAATAAAAAATATGTAGTGGAATTATGGTAATTTATTGCATAATTTAGAACGCAAGGTACATAATTTTAAAACTTAAGGTGCATCAGTTCGAAACTTAAAATGCATTACTTTAAAACTTAAAGTGCATAACTTCGAAACTTTAGGTGCATGGCTTTATCTATTAAAATATGCACACCAGAATTTATACTCGTTGAAAATACATCTAGCATCTTCCCTTCCAAAATGTAATGCTAAAAACAAGTTTGAATTCGCAGCAAGAGAGGAAGATAGGATGAAAATGACAATGGTGGGATGAGATCATTTGCAACCAGATGAAAGGAAGCGTTTTTTTTTTTTTTTTAAAAAAAATTATCTTCATTCTCGACAATTGATCTAAATTAGATTAACAGTTCAGATCTTATCCCATTATTTACCTGTGAGTTCTTTTGCATGTGAACCATCTCATATATATATATATATATATATATATATATATATATATATATATATATATATATATAAAATAAATGTTGAATTCAACTACCATTTTAGATTTCTATTGTTAACATTAAATTTTAATTTTTATTGATACAAGTATATAACACACTAATTGGTTAAAACAAAAATAAAGAATCATCATATTACACGCGAATATATTCTTAAAATAAAATTGTAGGTGATTTCCGTATTCCTAATTCTAAGAATAATCATAACAAGCTGTGATAGGAGCCTATCATCCGTTGTATGGGCATGAAATTCTGCACCCTATCACCTTTAAAGCTGCTTTTTTTACTCTCGTTTTTCCTCACCTGCGTCTTTTACGCGTTTTTTTTTTTTTTTTTTTTTCAACTTTTGACATTTGTGACAAGCTTTGGCCAGCGGAACGTACAAGTCTCTTCATCACTGTTGAATTGATTGAGATGGGTCGATAGTGAATAGTCTGCGATTGAGGGTGGGTGTTTTGGTATTGGGTTTGATTTTTTTTTTTTGGGTTTTAGTTTGTTCGGTTCTAAAAAAAATAAAAGTATTTAGTTTAACATTGTAGTTTGGTTTGATTTTGATTTAGTTTTAAAAAGGAGGAAACTCACGCACGCATACAAATCACGCACCTTAAAAAGGAAACTCACGCACCTTAAGTTTCAACAACTGCTTACATTAAGCACAAAACTCACACATTTTAAGCACAAAATCGACGCTGATCACGAACCTTAAGCACGAAATCCACGCACCTTAAGCACAAAATTCACGCACCTTAAGTTTCAACAACTACTCACATTAATTATACAATCCACGCACTTAAGCACAAACTCACACACCTTAAGCACAAACCCCACGCACCTTAATCACAAAAGTCACGCACCTTAAGCACAAAAGTCACACACCTTAATTTTGACTTAGAAGCAAAAATTACCAAATTACCACTGCATTTTTGTTTTTTTTTTTTTTTACTTTTGGTAATCCTGGACGTTGATTTAATAAAAATCAATGGCTCTCCTATCACCGCACAACCGCACCAGAACCTATATATATATATATATATATATATATATATATATATATATATAAATATAATTAGGTTTTGGTGCGGTTAGGGTGCCCAGGTGCGGTTGTGCGGTTTAATCTGGGCTATTCATTTCGCTTAAATCAACATCCAGGATTACCAAAATTTAAAAAAAAAAAAACGCGGTGGCAATTTTGTAATTTTTGCATCTAGGTCAAAATTAAGGTAAGCGGATCTGTGATTAATGTGCGTGAGTTTTGTATATAAGATGCGTGAGTTTTGTGCGTAAGGTGCGTGAGGTTTGTGCTTAATGTGCGTGGGGTTGTGCTTAACGTGAGTAATTGTTAAAACTTAAAGTCTGTGAGTTAATACTTAAAGTGCGTGGGTTTTGTGCTTAATGTGCTGAGGTTGTGCTTAATATGCGTGGGTTTTGTACTTAATGTGCGTGAGTTTGTGCTTAATGTCAGTAGTTGTTGAAACTTAAAGTCTGTGAGTTAATATTTAAAGTGCGTGGGTTTTGTGCTTAATGTGTGTGGATTTTGTACTTAATGTGCGTGAGTTTGTGCTTAAGATCTAACACTTAAGGTGCGTCATTTTTAGCTTATGCTTCTTTCTTCCAGACACGCGTTTTTTTTTTTTTAATTTTCATTAATTTGATCG